GCTAGGGCATTTCTCAGTTTAATTGCTTCTTGCTTTTTAGATTTCAAATCCCATGTTATGAACGCTTTAGTGCAGCACACTATGAGATCGAATCAGAAGACCTGATTTATCCCAAACTAACAGAACCACAAAAGCCTTGTAATAAATGTTCATAGTAAGATGCCATGTGCTACAAATAAGCAGCTTAATAGTGCATCAGTTCCAAAACTGCAGTTCAGTGTAATATTGTTACCTGATCCAAGTTTAAAAATAAATAAAATGCCACCCCAATCCATACAGCTACATGGTGACTTAAAAGCAGCTGAAAATCTAATAAGATGCCCTCAAATTAGAAAATCAACAGAAGAGACAACTGATGGATGTACATCCTCAGTAAAAGGGCTGACATATTTCCTATACCTTCTCACTGTTTTTCCCAGTCTCATCATCTTAGTATTAATATGCAGCCTGAACTTTAATCAATTTGCTCTCAACCATGCCACAGTTACTGTTAAGCTCTTAATGAGATGCTTGATCACACTGTCTGTGCAGGATGAGCTGCAGATGCAAGACGAGTGCATGCAGTCGTCCTGAAAATGTTTCTACCTGTATTTTCTCACAGACTCCCCTAATTGCAATTTCTGATACTTACATTGAGCAGAACCATGACACGGAATCCCATAAAGTATCCTTCAGGGTAGAATAACTACAAATCATTTAATGATTATTCAGTTGCTTATTTAATAACAAAAATCTATGCAGAAATCCTGACACTGCATAAAGCAGATTTTAAAAGGATATTTCAATGTATCAAAATGTATTTAATTTCGTTTGGCTCTTTTCTGCTTTGGAGGATTCTTGCATCCTACTTTGCTGCAGTAATAGGATTATTGAGTTTAACTGCTTATGTTGGAAGAGAAACGACATCCACACAGCCAATGATGATAAGATAGAATTGCTGCAGCCTGAGGGGTTTCTAAGAAACATCTTCCATATATTGTTTCCTACTATGTGTGGGTTGGTGTAATCAGCTACCATCCTCCAGCAAAATAAAATCAAGAACAGATCAATGAAAAACTAGTGAGAAAGAAGCATTCCTAGGTGCCTCTTTTCACTGCATGCATTAATTCCCTGCCATATCTTCCTGTGCTCCTTCTGTTCTAAAAGATTTACAGTGTTTTACCAGTCTTCTGCTGTTGTTATGCCCATTGCAATGCAAAACTCTTCATTTTTTGAGACTGAAACAAATTGGTACTACAATGATGGCAGTAGGATTTCTCTGTAAGTTCTATTTAATAGCTCAATAATAATAATCAAATATCTTCAACAGTTTCATGCACAGTGAAAACTGTGCTCGTGAATTTACATAAATATATAAAATATGCATATATATATATATAGGCACTGTATATATATATATATATATATATACTGTGCCTATATACATATATAAAATATACATTTATATATATATATATATAAATATATATATACACACTGTGCCTATCTATCTATATATATATACACTATGCAGTATAATTGTTCTTTTCTTCCTGTACTGGCTTTGGGTGGCAATGTTTTGGTGGCAGGGGGCTGCAGGGGTGGTATGTCAAACACAGTTGGCTCCAGCCAGGTTGACAGCTGAGGTTGTCCAAAAGGGTTGAAACTGGCACAGCACTGGCCAAAGCTGAGCTCAGCAGCCGTGATGGAGCAATCTGTGTTAACAAATGGAGAAAGGGACCTACAGTCCCTAGAGGAATCCATACTGCAGCAGGTGGTTGAGTCCTGAAGGACATCGCAGCCTGTGCAGAGCCCACACAGGAGCCCACCCCTGGCAGGAACTGCAGCCTTTGGAGAAGAGCCCACACTGGAGCAGTCTTTCCTGAAGGACAGGACCATATGGAGAGTACCCTTCCTGGAGAAATTCCTGAAGAACTGTATTCTCTGGGAAGGACCCCGTGGTGGTTTTACTTGGGTGGTCAGCCAAGCTCCACCTCAGTCACTTTCTCACTCCCCCTCCTCGAATAGAAAGGGGGAGAAAATATGATGCAAAGGGCTCAAGGGTTGTGATAAGAATGGGGAGATCACTCAACAAGTATCGTGACAAGCAAAGCAGACTCAGCATAGGGAGACAGGAAGATTTCCGGCCTAACTACTACTACTCCCAGGCTAGACAAGTGAGAACCAAAGGAAAGAAACCAAAACCACCTTCCTTCCCCCCATCTGACCTCTTCCACCTCCTCCTCCCGAGCAGCGCAGGGGAACAGGGGAATGGGGGTTGTGGTCAGTCTACAACATTTCATCTTCACCACTCCTCGGTCAGTCTCTGCCACTGCTCCATGTGCAGTCCCTCCAATGGTATACCGTCCTTCCTGAACTGATATTGCATGGGCTTCCCCCATGCAGCAGCAGGCTCTTCAAGCACTGCTACCACACGGCTCCATCCCATGGGGTCCATCCATCCATCTTCCAGGAGCAAACTACTCCAGCACGGGTCCCCCACGGGTGGGCAGCAGCTCGTCCCAGACCCCTGCTCCTGCGGGGGCTCCTCTCCACGGGCTGCAGCTCCGGCCCGGGGCCTGCTCCTGCGGGGGCTCTCCATGGGCCGCAGCCTCCTCCAGGCCACATCCACCTGCTCCACCGGGGGCTCCTCCACCCATGGGGGGGCTGCAGCGTGGAGATCTGCTCCATGGGGGACCCATGGGCTGCAGGGGGACAGCCTGCTCCACCAGGGGCCTCTCCCTGCACAGCCCGCAGGGGAACTGCTGCTGCCTGCCTGCCTGCAGCACCTCCTGCCCTCCTGCGGCACTTCTCTTGGGAGCTGCAGGGCTGCTTCTCTCACGCTTTCACAATCCTCTCTCCCAGCTGCTGTTGCACAGCAGTATTTTCCCCCCTTCCTTAAATCTGCTCCCCCGAAGCCCACCCAGCAGCACTCCCTGCCTCGGCTCTGGCCAGCAGCAGGTCCTTTTTGGAGCCATCTGGAGCTGGCTCTGCTCTGATGCTGACAAGATGGGGCTGCATTCCTTTCCAAACTGGCTGTCATAAAGGCCTTCACCTTTGCATTACATTGAGGCAGCGGTGATCTCAGCCTTATTGTAGTTCTCTGCGTAATGTAGCTCCCAAACGAGATCCCAAGGTCCAGAACAGACATGGAAAGAACTGGGGGGTTGTAAGGAAAACAATTGTATTCCATCCTACAGCAACACCAGAGCTGTCTGGAGAGTTTAGGAGTCATCTGAATTTTGTTATTTGTGTTTGATCTGAACTAAGGAAGAAAGGACCAGTTACTAGAAAAGAATGCATGCCTGACAATGATACAACCAGATGGGAGGCTGTTTGATCTGGGTCTGTGGGTTTTGGATCTGTATGCTGTTGAGGAGATTGTTGGAATTCTGATTACAGAATCAAGAACCTCCAGAAAGTGCAGGACGCCAGTGCTGGAGAGCACGGCTCACACTTTGACGCTTCCTGGGACTGCCTAGCACATTAACAGGTCTCGGCCCAAAATGGCTGTGCTTCAAAAAGGTTTCCCTCTCTCAAGCATTTGCTGCTCTGCACTTCCTTTTCTTTCACTGGAGACTCAGATCAATTGGTTGCTTTGCACTTGGACATGTTCCTTGGAAAGCTGCTTGAACTCTCTTCAAACCCTGGACTACCTGGGATTTGATTGCTTCCTCTAACTGGCACTGATGCTGTAGCTGGATCCCTCGAAATCCCATTTGACTGCTTCTGCTTCCTGAGCAGGTGACAGAAACTTTCACAACCAGAGAGCAGAGAAGAAGGAGTTGGAGTTCTGCATAGGGGAAATATTTGGAAGTTTTGAAGATGTTTCCCCTGCTCAGCTGCCAACCCTACGTTAACCAATCACCTGATCTTTTGCATTCCAGTGTGAGGAAGGTTTTAGCAATTCGTGTCAATAGAGAGCTTGAAGGGAAATGCGTTCCTTTCATACATTGTAAACTTTGATTCTTGCCCAATTTGGAAGACTGAGCCATTTATAACACCAGCAAAAGTCTCAAATCAGTTAGGAAGGAAAGTTAGTTCTGAAAATACTCAGTCACCTCTGTGCATGCCAAACCCTTAATGGCACTGTGCAAAACGCAGATTGCTGTGATGAATCGCGTTGTGGAATGAATGGCAACATACATATTTGGCTCCAGATCCAAAATGTCACTTCTTTGGCCATTTTATTTAGGGTAGCACTCCCCTCCCCTCCCATTCCCTCCCTGGCCCATTCCTTACTTCCCACCAATACCACCCCCTCCCCTCCCCTCCCCTCCCCTCCCCTCCCCTCCCCTCCCCTAAACTCCCCTCCCCTCCCCTCCCCTAAACTCCCCTCCCCTAAACTCCCCTTCCCTCCCCTAAACTCCCCTCCCCTCCCCTAAACTCCCCTAAACTCCCCTAAACTACCCTCCCCTAAACTACCCTCCCCTAAACTTCCCTCCCCTCCCCTAAACTCCCCTAAACTCCCCTCCCCTAAACTCCCTTCCCCTAAACTCCCCTCCCCTAAACTCCCTTCCGCTAAACTCCCCTCCCCTAAACTTCCCTCCCCTCCCCTAAACTCCCCTAAACTCCCCTCCCCTCCCCTAAAATCCCCTCCCCTAAACTCCCCTCCCCTAAACTCCCCTCCCCTAAACTCCCTTCCGCTAAACTCCCCTCCCCTAAACTTCCCTCCCCTCCCCTACACTCCCCTAAACTCCCCTCCCCTACACTCCCCTACACTACACTCCCCCAAACCCCCCTAGACTACACTCCCCTGCACTCCCCTCCTCTATGCTCATCTCCCCTGCACTCCCCTCCCCTGCACTCCCCTCCCTACACTATCCTCCCCTACACTCCCCTCCCCTACACTCCCCTACACTCCCCTCACTATCCTACACTATCCCAACACTATCCTACACTAGCCTACTCTCCCCTACAATGCCCTACATGCCCCTGCCCTGCCCTGCCCTTCCCTCCCCTTCCCTCCCCTTCCCTCCCATTCCCTCCCCTTCCCTCCCATTCCCTCCCCTTCCCTCCCCTTCCCTCCCCTTCCCTCCCTTCTTGTCCTTTTCTTTCCCCCTCTCTTCTCTTCTCCCCTCTTCTTCTCCCCTCTTCTCCTTCCTTTCACGGATCTGAACGCAGAAGGGGGAGAAGCGTAACTCCAGATCGCTTCAGTCGCTCTGGCAGCTTGTGTCACTGGCTGATCCATGGGAATCCATCAGCAGCAATCGGAAGCGTTCCAGCTGCTGTGGGACCAGTCAGGGAACAGTCTCAAACTGGGAAACGCTGACTTCCTTCCGCGGCTCAGACAGGTGACTTTCAATTTCGCCCTGGCTGGGTTGTGTCCCCTTGCTCTGTCCCCACCTACACGGCAGTTTGGTTTAGAAGCAGCAGCACGGTTTGGCAGTAGTTCCACTACTTCCATTTTCGGTGATTTGGCTTGGCTCGCCAAGTGGTTTCTGTCAACAGAACACAAGAAGGAGATTTTGGTTAGAAACAACTACATGAGGAGCTCCTTTCCACATGGGCAATGAATACTTATCCTTTCCTAATGGAGACTACAGTGGAAGAGATAAGGACAGATCATTCCGAGAGATTTTTCAGAGAATTGTCCCTTGGGGGTGCTTAGTCCAGAGGACCAGAGTTAATCTGTCCAAAGTACACCATGGAAGCACTCTGAATTACTTCCTAACAGAAGCATGGCCTTACCATGTCTGATACGGCTTTGGCTGGTTTCAGTGTTCTTCTTCACTTCATAAATACCTAAATTAAGTACTGTCCTATCAAGCAAATACCTTATTCTCTTGATATCTCTGAGTTGATGGAAGACCCAAGACACTTGGCTCTTCACATCATTGGAAGAACCAAGTGTACTTCCAATATTCACAGCTTCGGAGGAAATGGAGATGAGGTTGAGAGTGGATGAAAAACACCAAGTGTTACTTCCCATCTTCACAGCTTCTAAGCAAGTGGAGATGAGGCTGTGCAAGAACCAAACAAACTGCTGATCCAGAAGCAGCCTAAAGACTGTCTTTAACCAGGGCCTTGCATTCTTCATCTTTATACCCTTACTCGCCTTCAAGGGCATGATCGTTATCTTATTGACTTCCTACCACTACAGCAACGCACCTGCTTCTCTCACAAAACTTACGGGTGGGAACTGGAAAGATTCACCAGCATTCTGTATTTCACTCCTCATCTCAATTCTCTTTTGGCCTGCGAAGCTTTTCAGATCAGAGATGAAGATCAGATGTAATCTGGAGTTTGGGATACTGCAAAGGAAAAGAAGAATCATCCTGAGAACTCTTTTCAACCCCACTTGCAAGCGCCAAAGTCAAGAATACCAAAAGGAAAAAGGATGCCACTTGATCATGGTAAGCATAAATTTGAGCACAGGTCTCCTCTAACTGAAGCGAGGTTAAACAGGTTCCAAACAAGGTTAAGGAGCACACCCACAATCATTTCCATAAAACTGTGTTTTCAAACAAATGGTTGAAAGATTTAGATTTTCTTACAAGCGACGAATGAAAAATAAAGAAAGAAAAGAAAATGACCAGGACATGCAGTCTAGCTTACTCTAGCTTACTTTGCCTAGTTCAGAATCTGCGTCTTGGGTCACAATCAGGAAGCAGCATTGTGCAGAAATGCCAAAGCCTCCCCAAACTTGTTCTATCTTCATCAACAAGGGCTTTGATACTGCTGCCTCCTCAGCAACATCGTCAATTGACTAGGAAAGTTGGTGTCCACCAGGTCAAATCAGGACTAGGAAATCCCTCTTGCCACAACTGCACACTTGCACCAGAGTTGGCAGGTCAGAGCGATGGACAGAGAAGCATCTAGAAGAGTGTTAGAAAACAGACTTTAGAACAGATTTCCATCAGCCCAGGAACAATTACTTGCTCATCCCTTCAGACTGAACTCTAAGTAGAAGCAGGTGATCCCAAGCTGCATTCCTGACATCTATGCTGCAAAGTCATCAAATGTGACATGTTATTCTACCAGTCTGTAATGAACATAAACAAGAGTTTGAGTTGAGGATGTTGGTTTAGAATCAAGCTCAAAGTGTTAGTCCTTTGATATGTTTTTGTCTGCAAGTGTTTCCACTGTTTCCCAGACAATGTCTCCAGCAAGCTAGCTGTTTGTTTCATTTGTTCTGTTCTGTTTTGTTCTGTTCTGTTTTGTTTTCTCAGTAAGGTTTCTTAGAGAGATAAGATTGAAGTGATCGTATTGCATGCCCATCCATCCCTCCCCTTTGCTTGTCCAGAGCTTTTACCTTGTCTACCACGATGCATGAACTTGGTCATAGGCACAGTTGTTTCAAAGACATTCTGCTGCTAGACCTGTTGTGAAAACAGAGAGCTAAGTATTTGGACGAGAACATGCTTCCACCTGCACTATGACCTCCACAACTAGATGTGGAGCCATATCAGCCAGAAGGAAGTTTCCTTCACAGCTGCTGCTTCTTACACTATCAGGACTCTTACTTTTACTCTTACTTGCCTTTCCTGCATTAGCACAAAAAAAAAAAAAAAAAAAAAAAAAAAAATTTTGGAGATTACCTTTGCCATCTGATGTCTTCGTTTCCAGAAACTACCCTGAATCACCTTTATGAGAACTGTCCACACTGCGAGCATGGGTGTTGCAGTCAGGCCAGATATGTCCCTTCTACGTCAATAACCAAATCTGTCAAGTTAAGAACATGGAATTAATGAAAAGGAAATCCTTCTATTTTGATCTGAGTTCACTTTTTTTTTTTTTTTTTTTTTTTTTTTTTTTTTTCTAGACCAAGAAGAACCAGCAAAAGTCGGGTGAAAAATGAAATGAAAAATGTTAAGGCCAGGCAGCTTGCTCACTGCAAGTGCTAATCTGAAAGCAGATGGAGTGCATCTTCATACACTCCGTCCTGAGACACTCCACTCAACAGGCCAGCCCAGCTGATGAAGCGCATTGCTGTCCTGAAGTTTAATGTGATGGGCTACTTTCAAGTCTCTTGTTTATGCTGTAGTACTTGAGGTCTATGGCAGGACCACAGCACACTCTTATTTGTCTACCCTTCTTTCTTGATCGTGTGTGGGAAAGAGAGAACGTGCAGAGGCCCTCAGCCACATGTTGCACCTGTCACTCTGTGCAGCTACATCACTGAGCCAAAGTACCAAACTTCATGCTTGTGAAAGGACTTGACACAAACTACAGAAATCTAAAATGAAGCATCCAAACACTTACAGAAGGGTGGGCCCTCTCGATGCACCTCCACGTGGGATCCACAAGTCCTCACGTGGTTTCATCCAGCACACTTCTCTGTCCCTCCTCGCTCAACTTGCTCAGAGGCAGCTGTTCCCAAGGTGTCACAGTGACATCATTCAATTCTGTTGCTGAAGTCATCACTGTAGGCCCCTGGCAGCGGCAACACAACACTCTCTGTTGCTAATGCGAATGTCTCAGAAACAAGTAGAGAAGTACCACTCTCCCCAAGCTGACTTTAATTGGAGTAGTTCCAAAATTATTCTCTGCCCCCCTACATCTGTGGAAGGTGTGTGATCAATCTTTTCCTTAAGAAAGGATTACAAGCCAAAAAAAGCTTGCTTCTGATACGTTCCCCTTACTTTTAGAGCTGTTCACCTTTGATTTCCAAGGAAGAAAAAAGAAGGTGAAATCAACAATTCTCCTCCTCCGAGTTGGGAATATGAAATAAGCCCAATTATTTAGGAAGCCTGAAAAAGGAAACTCTACATTTCCTTGTTAAACACCTTGTTGCTTCTGAAAACTTTTCCAGTCCTTTGCAGCTGCAGTGCTTTTCGGTGGGTGGGCAGCCGAGCTCCATCACGGCCACTCTCTCCCTCCCCCTCCTCAAAGAGAAAGGGAGAGAAAATACGATGCAAAGGGCTCAAGGGTTGAGACAAGGACAGGGAGATCGCTCAACAAGGATCGTGATGGGCAAAGCAGACTCAGCATAGGGAGACAGTAAGATTTCCTGCCTAACTACTACTACTACCACCAGGCTAGACAAGTGAGAACCAAAGGAAAGAAACCAAAACCACCTTCCTTCCCCCCATCTGAGCTCTTCCAGCTCCTCCTCCCGAGCAGCGCAGGGGAACAGGGGGACTGGGGGTTGTGGTCAGTCTGTAGCACTTCATCTCCACCACTCCTTCTCGGTCCCTCTCTGCCCCTGCTCCACGTGGGCTCCTCTCCACGGGCTGCAGCTGCGGCCCGGGGCCTGCTCCTGCGGGGGCTCTCCATGGGCCGCAGCCTCCTCCAGGCCACATCCACCTGCTCCACCGGGGGCTCCTCCACCCATGGGGGGGCTGCAGCGTGGAGATCTGCTCCATGGGGGACCCATGGGCTGCAGGGGGACAGCCTGCTCCACCAGAGCCTCTCCGCATGCTGCAGGGTACTTCTGCTCTGGCACACAGAGCACCTTTCCTCCTCCTTCTTCACTGACTTTGCAGCCTGCAAGGCTGTTTCTTACTCCTCTTTCTCTCCCTGTGAGGCAGCCTTTTTCGTTATTTTTTTTCCCCTTTTAAAATATGTTCTTGCAGAGCTGCAAACAACATAGCTTATTGACTCAGCTCTGGTCAGCAGCGGGGCCCTTATCTAACATGGGGCAACTTCTGGATTCTTCTCACAGAAGCCACCCCTACAGCCCCCTGCTACCAAAACCTTGCCAGGTAAACCCAACAGAGCAACTCTTTCGGTGAAGCATTTTTTCCTAATAACCAACCTAAACCTCCCCTGATGCAACTTAAGGTTTTTTGCTCTTGTCTTGTCGCTTGGGGCTTGGGAGAAGAGAACAATCCCCACCTCTATGGAGCCTCCTTTAAGGTTACTGTAGAGCACAATAAAGTCTCCCCTGAACCTCCTTTACCCCAGGTTAAACAACCCCGGCTCCCTCAGCCACTCCTCACAAGAATTGTTCTCTAAACTCTTAACAAGCTTCTCTGGACACTCTCCAGCACCTCGACATCTTTGATGAGCACAGTACTGGAGGTGCAGCCTCACTATAGCTGAGCACAGAGGGACAATCATTTCCCTAGTCTTGATGGCCACTCTATTTCTGACACAAGCCAGGATGCTCTTGGCCTTCTTGGTCACACTTCTTGACCACATGCTCTTGGCCTTCTTGGTCACACTTCATGTTCCACAATAACAATTTTCATTTTTGAGGGTGGAAAAACCGTCAATTAAATAGAATAAGAGAAAATCTCACTGTATTACACCAGAAGTACCTTTTCACAAGTAATAAATAAATAAATAAATAAATAAAGCTTAATGGTATATGTATATCATCTTTTATTTTATTTTTTTATTATTATTATTTTTATTTTTTTTACAAACAATGTCAGCAAGAATGGTCATGGTAATAATAACCATAGCATTGCTAACTACTGTTCATACTATATTGTTTTTCTTTATGCTATTTCTCAATGTCTGAGAAAATCACAATTGTTGGATTTGGAAGAATTGATATATTATAGCATTATGTACTAATTGCTTTCCCACCAAAAAAAAAAAAAAGTGTCTCTGAGCTCCATCTTCCCTTGTGGCTGTAATGACCATTGCTGAGGTATAGATTCAGTCTCCCTAAGCTCACTGTCCATAATAAAACAAAAGAAATACATGTGTACTTGACAGAAGCATGAACGATGTATTTTGTTAGAATTTGGAGATTTTTGAGGAAAAGGGAGCCTCCAAAATACGGACTGGTTCAGAAGAAATGAACCTGATCTTGCAAGAGCAATCAGTTGTGCTATATAATGTAGAATGCTGTCAGAGCAATCCTGGCTTCACTCCAATGTTTTAGTTATTGCTGAGAAGGGCTTGCACAGTGTTAAGGCCTTTTCCTTTTTTTTTATTTATTTATTTATTTATTTATTTATCTATTTATTTATTTATTTATTTATTTTCACATTGCCATGCCAGTGAGGAGGCTGTGGTTGCAAAAAAGCTGGGAGGCAAAACAGCCAGGACATCTTAACCAAACTGACCAAAGGGATATCCCGTAACATATAGAATGGTAGAACAGTTTAGGATGGTAGGAATCTTAAAGATCGTCAACTTTAACCCCCCTGCCATGGGCAGGAACACCTCCCAATATGCAAGCGCATATTGCTGGCTCATGTTGAGCTTCTCATCAACCAGTACCCCCAAGTCCTTCTCCACAGGGCTGCTCTTGAGTTATTTCTCACCTAGTCTATACAGGTGTTTCAGAGAGCCCCTCTGCTCATGCATCAGATTGGGAGGCTGGGCATCTGGTTTGGATTGTTGGGACCCCTAACTTCAAGAAAAATTAAAATTGAGTGTTGGACATCTAGAACTGTAAATAGGCATTTTCTCCTGCTTCTGTGGTAGGCAATGGGCATAGCGGAAATACATCTGAAATAAAACTATTACCAGCCACTACCTTTCATGACAGACCCTTGACGATATATGGGTCAACCACTGTGCTGCCAATTGTAGAGACCTCATATTTTTTTTAAAGGCAGTTAAACTTAATAAGCAATGACTTTCATTAGAACACTAAAGAAAGTCTATTCATCACAGGCTGCATCTGTATTAGATGTGGGAATGGAGCAATAATGTAGTTTTGCAACAAATGAATATTACAGCAATGAGTGTTTGTTATTGGTGCTCTGTGAGTGAATGAAGTGGCCCTGTGGCTGCTGCACCTTCTGTGATGATGGTAGCAAGGGAGACCCATGTTCCTTCTGGAGCTCTTTCTAGACTGCGAATTTATCCAAACTGTGTTCTGTTCCCTTGGAGGTATATAACAAGTAATATAGTCCAGTTTGAGAAGATCGAGAGATCAAAGCAGCTAAGGCTAACGGCCTTACATATTCATCAAGTGGTTCCAGCATATAGGAGCTTTGAACTAGATTCAGTTGGAACCATTGAACAAAAATGCCTGCAAACTTGGTTTCAAACCTATCCAAAGAACAGGTGATTAGTTTGGGCTTTTATATCCCTTTTAGGGGTTGCAACACATTGATCTTGCACCTGAAAAAGCTCTTTAATTTCTTTTTCTTTAGAGATAACATTTATTCATGTACCACTAGTCCTCTCTGAAACTACAACTGGATGGAGGAAATGTGATTACTAGACTTTTATGCAAAACTACATTATTGCTCCATCCCAGCATCTAAGGATGCAGCCTTTGAGGAATAGATTTTCCTTAGTGTTCTAAGAAGAGCTGCAGCCAAATAAACTGGGCTTCTCCTAGGACCACTACAAAAATATTTCTGCTCTCCATAGCTTGTCTAGCACAGGTAGTGTTGGTCAGAGCACAATCGCCTCGGAGGCTTTGTGCATGGCACTTAGCATAGACGCACAGTTTACACTGAGGTCAATCTGAAAATGAGAATCGTGTTGGAGATGAGAAGAAGGTGACGGAGATGTACTTAGGGTAAATTAGTAATTTCTGTGTCCATTTCTTCCAAGATGAATAAGAACAAAGTGAATTAATTTAACACTTGTTAGTAACTTATTTTACAATAGATTTTATTTCCTAATTGTTCTGATAGTACATTTTCCTGTCCACCGTGGATCTGTTCCACTTCCTAGAGCAGTCAAGCTGGATTCTGCCATTTGTCAGCAGAATTTTAGATAAACTTCTACTGAGCACAGTCTACATGGATAGAACATAAACCATGTTTAACTTCCTCCATCCAGCCAAATGAATAAGTATTTTGTTTTAAAGGACTAAGCATCTTTTTTTCTCTTTTTTTTTTTCTTTTTTTTTTTTTTGTGGGGGGGGGGAGGGGGTGTCCATTTTCTAGACCTTACAAAATAGATCATAACAATGATCTACTGAAAAATATGAAAACAGTTATCTTAAGAAACAAAAATGTACACCAGCTAAGTGTACTAACCAATGAAAAGCTTTTTACCAGTTAAACTTGAACGAAAAGAGATAGGGAAATTCTGCAAAAAGCAAATAAAGACAGGGAATCATCAGGGTGTCTCGGTCAATCTGATGTGATGGAAAGCCAGCAAGATTTAGAGTGGGCGTTTTTTCATCTGCTGTAATAAAAATGATAAGAAAATCTATTTAATATGCAACAAATTCAATTTAGATGATCAAGCTGGGGATTGGTCTGCAGGAGAATGAT